CATAAACTCTTAAAAACTTTTTAATTTGCACAGATAACTTTATTAACTATATATATATATATATATATATTGTAGGGACTAGTTTATTTTTTTTAATGTGTGCCAAGAGTATCCTCCCGCCGTAGCCAATGAATAATCCTTTTTCAAAGCCTATTTACTTATATATATGAAGAGGAAGCAAAATTAAAGTACGTACAAACATGCCTAAGCCTATTATGTTTTTCCTTTATTATTTGATTTTAAAGTTCGCTACACAAGCAATGTAAGTCCCACGTGTCACATGTCAAATAGGTTAAATTTTTATTTTGTAAATAAAGAAAAATATAAATAAATAATTAATAATACTCTTAATCATTCGATATATAGTCAAAATGTGTACACTTTACCTCTTTGCCCTTTGTTTTCCTGTTCCTCAAAACAAGGCCATCTTATCACCTGATTTGACTTTATCTAATTGATTAACAGTTGATCATCCTATTTTCTTGGCCAAAAAAAAAGAAGAAAAAATCTTGTTATTTTCTGAGCGTATTCTCTCCTCTGTACTCTGTATTCATTTAGCACCGGGAGAATTGAAATGATAATTAATTACTAGAGTCTCATATAGACACGTGATTTTTTTATTAAAAGAAATAGACGAGTTGAATATCAAAATAAAAGAAAGAAAGAAAGAAAGAAAGAAATAGACGAGTTAAGTCTATATATAATGTATAACACTCATTATATTAGAACTTGATGAGGACTCACAAATTTTTTTTAAAAATATTTATATAGATATTTATAATTTACAGATACAACATATACGCCTCCATCTGTAGATTATGGACCGCACAGCATATCTAATACACTCTTAATATTTTTATTAAACAAACTAAGTATTGGTTCATTTATACTAAAAATAAAGTTTGTTTTTAGAAAAGAAGAGCCTGTAATTAAAAAAGAAAACGAGAAATTAATGTGGAGAAGAGAAGAAGCTAAGAAAAGCGAGAAACACTTGGTCCTAGTTTTCTTTTGGACTTTTTTATCACATTGTTGCATGATAATGATAATTCAGACATCACTTTTTAAACTTTTTTGAAAACCTGCAATCCAATGCAAGTGTGGCAATTGGCAGTGTCACCCCCCAACCCAGTACACTATAATCATATCTCTCTATAATTTATCCTTCCACTTTATTTTGGCAATTAATCACGTACTAAAAGCAAACTCAATACATTCATGCATCTTGCTAATTAAAAAAAAAGTATACTATTATGAAAATGAAAAAACATTACATAAATATAAAAAAAATCGAGAATTAACAAATGTGGTGTGGCAGGAGCACAGGAGAAGGAGACAGATAGAGTGAAAGCTTGAAAAGGGGCACGAGCTACCAGTCTCCACCTTTTGTTGTAGTCTTATAGGAAAACCATTTTGTACAGTTAGTAAACAACCCCACACTTTACCCTCCTTCATTGCTCACTCACATCACTCACACACTCACACACAGAGTCACTGCTAATTATTTATTCATCATTACTCCATGATTCAGCTCCAGTCCACGTGTCTGCATCTCGTCCAATCCTTGCATGGATCGATGCCGTCAGATCTGATCTGCTTCCTCTGCCGTTTCCAGAGTGTTAAGCAAGAAAACGACGACAGAGTTGACGCCCTTGTTTTCATCTCTGATCTCACACAGAGAGAGAGAGAGAGAGAGAGAGAGGGAGGGAGGGAGGGAGGGAGGGAGGGAGAGAGCGCGCTTTACTATTTGAGTAGCTCGAGACGTTTTGCATGAAAAAGTTGCACTCTGATGGTCCTCCTTAGGTCCCCTAGCTATCTCCCTCTGGACTGTTATGGAATTTTCTTGCAATATATATATATATATATATATGTATATGTATATAACATTCATTTGTATTTATGACATATTAGGAGAGGAAAAGATGGAATGATCAGAGTTACAGTGAACTTGGGAATTATGAAACGATCGTAGTCAGTGGTCAACTGTACGAGATGTGGGTGAAAATATGGTAAAACTCACGAGCATTGATGTAAATGGTCCGTTTCGTGATCATGATTTTGATGTTTCTTCTTCACGGCGCCGGTCGTTTTTGTCACGTTTCCGTCGTTCACTGCGCTTCTCCTATACTGGTGATTCCAAAGATGGCCACTGTTTCACAGTGATATGATGGCACATACATCTCCGACAGCTCAATGTGCGACATGTGAGGTGCCTTACCAGATTGCATTTCATATCTCCCCCTTAGTACTCTAGTAAATTCTAACACAAACATAGAAGCTTGTTGAGAGAGTGTGTATGTGTGTGTGAATTGAATAAAAGTCTTATTTGATAACTCAATATACAGGCATATGTGAGGGCTGAAAAATCAAATGCATATAACTTTATGGGAAGGAGGAGATCGTTGGACTAAAAAGACAAAAAGAGGAATTTAGCAAATAAAAAGTGGAGAATAAGAAACATGGTGTTTGTACATAGACACGCACGAAAAACAGATACAAGACGACGCCATACAAGCCGAGATTCGCGCGGGAGCCAAGTACATCGACGTTCTCGTTTTGAGAGAAATCAATAATTGCAAGCTCTACGAAGAAGCATGTACATGAAAGTCTAATTAACAATATTAATTGAAAGAGAACCATAGAGTGAGTAAAATTGGGTAAATATAATTATGTTTTACACATGAGATTAATTAAAGAGGGGAGGGCAAAAAAATATGCAGCCCATATGGTGACGAATCTAAAGTGTAATGTGTACGTTTCCAATCCGATACACATGAGAAGATTCCATTCCCATGATCTAACAAAGTTATTGTCATGCCACGTCGCTCACGGTCACTGCCGACCAAATACGAGGTCAAAACGGATGGATGAGATTTCTCTACCTTCTTGTTGCACTGGTAATTTTTACAATCATCATGGCATAATTTAATTACTACGATTAATTTTTAAAATTATTGGTGAGAAGACAAGGAGTAGGAACACGAGAGACGAGGCAAAATGATATGGCAATCCATTGCTTTATGATTGACGCCTCTCCTTCCCTCTGCCTGTCTCGGGACTGTCGTTTTAGCATCAGAGAGAGGGCGGGCAGCTTTGTCGTTTGAGGGGGTTTCGGGCAGATCGGTCAGCTCTTCTCGGTCATGAGAGACAATCTGCTGATTGCGACCATACCTTCTCCCCCTACCCTACTCTTTTCCTTTTCCTTTCTTCTTCTTATTATATATTTTTATTTTTTTAAAGGAAAAAAAAAAAAAAAGAAAACACACATGCAGAGCAGAACAGATTTGACTTTTCCTTTACATTGTTTTGAACCGCCATTACTTTAGTGGGCTTTACCATGGCCCATTTCATCCATTTGCTCTCTCATATTCAATCAGTCCTGTCAAATATCTTATCTTTTTTTAATGACAGATATTATTATTATTATTATTATATGTTTAAATTCAAACAGTACTGGGCTCCCTTAAATTTGTTTCATTTAAAGCATGACAATTTAAAATTTTTGTTAGAGATATTCCTTCTAATTTTATTTATAAATTATTTTTAATATATTTTATTAAAATTAAAAAAATTTAAATCTCATTAAATTTATTTTAAAATTTAATAATTTTTTATTTTTATTTTTAATAAATATTTTTAAATTTTATTATTATTATTTTTATTCAAAGAATTGAATTAAAATAAAAATGTAAACAAAAGCTTTTAAAATTGGCAAATATCTTATCAATAGGATTATTTTTTTTTCCTCTATCCATCCTATAACTACAACTAAAGGAGTATCCGATCTCCTGCAGGCTGTATACACTCTTCATCCACCATGAGTACTTATCCAAAATACTTTATTTATTATGCGCGTGTGCGTATTCAATTACAAATTTATCTGGCATTTGTAATTTAAAAGCATTATAATTATTTTTATTTTTTATTTAAGTAAAAAAATAGTTGTCTGAATTGTAAGATTGAAAATGACGTAGGATTAATGAAGATGAGATGAAGAAAATGGTGAGTGAGAGATGTGAGAGAGGGAAAGTGGGGAATGTGAGGGACAGAGTGACAGAGGAGACTTTATCTTTATCCCAAAATTCTGACATCTGAAATCATTCATTCATTATTACCTCCTTTCTACTGCTTTCCCACTTTCCCTCCCTCCCTCCCACCATCCTTTTCCCCCAAACCAATGAAACAAATAATATTAATTTAATGCAATATCAAAATTCAAACCCATAACAAAATCCTATTATTCATGCCAGACTCCCAATAAATACAGCGGATCTACTCTATTTTGTATTTTCAACAAAAATAATTATTTCACCAAAAATACTATCACATTCACACCCAATCTTTCAAGTTTCAAATGTATAACCTCATTGGAATTTACAACTCATTCTCCACAAGTTTTTGGGCCTTCTCTCGTTTCCGTGTTATTTGGAAAACCCAATCAGGGCATTAGATCTCAGGCCCCTATTAAACATCTATATGGGCTGGGCACCTTTGAGTGAAAATCTGTGTTCATTTCCGGCCCAAGATTTTCAGTTAATGCCCACGACTCTTTTTTTCCTGGTAAAATGATTTCCCCCTTGTAATAACAATGTATTTGCATAAAAAGTCTAAAACAAAAGGTTAAAAACAAACTATATGTGCATATTAAATAAAATTTTTGATTAATTATATTACGAAATGATCGCAGCGAACAAAATACAAGTAATTATATTATTGTTTTGATTATAGAGATTGTTGTTTGGACAAGGAAGAAAAAAATAGGAGAAAATGAGCAAAGAGACGACACCATTTTTTAAAAAAAAAAATGAATTAGTGGAATAGACATATTCTAAGTGAGATTGAAGCCCCAACCTTCTACTCATAGAGAGCTTGTACGCCATGAGGTTATAAAATCATTGGCCATAAGCTTGAATTCTAACAACTCGTTGGGCTGGGTTAGATTGTGATGGAAATATTTTTCCAGTTCTTTCATAAAAGAGGTAGGTTGAAATTTGAAGACAGAGTTCTGTTTATATAATTAGACGTGATTTGATTATGATTCAACATTTATTGTAATCAATTTTCTGAAGATATATTAGGCTTAGGATTTTGGATATTATTTGTAACTCCGTCAAAAAATGGTGAACGTGAGTGTGTGAGAATGTCGACGTGATTCCGATCGCAACATAATCCATTTCGACTATCGCATGAAAATGGCGTCGTCGTCTCCTGCTGGTCTTTTCTTCCTATCCAAAGTCCCCAGCGCCCCAAAACCTTCAGCATTTTCGCTTCCAAAGCCTTCTTTCGCAGTTCCCAGACCCAATCTCTCATCGCTTCCCTCTGCTTCTCTTTACTCTTCTCACAATCTTGCGATCTTCCCGACACCATCCAGAGCTCTCCTCTCTTGCAAATGCTCTTCCACTTTCCCCTTCGCCACTAGGAGCTACGAGGTGCTTTTCTTGTACTTGGTGACTTTGGAGTTCTAGTTCGAACTGAGTTTTGTATATGAAGCGTGAGATTCCGTTTAAAATTTCAATGCAACTATGGTGTGCATGGACTACCTTCTAATTGGTTAATAATCTTGTAATCTGAGTTCTCTAATCTAATTGGGTGCTTTGTGCTGTGATGCCGTGCGATGAGCATATAAGTATTGGGGTATGTGAGTGTGACATGCATAAAAAACAATTGCATTTCTTTCCCAGAATTGACCCCTTACTTCTGTAGGTATCTTGTGAGGAATTAGGTTTTTCACAGAACTTAGTGAAGTGCTTTCAGCTAGGATTAGACTTTCTATTCATTGAACCCGTGTCAGTTTGTCCATGCTACCCATTCAATCTATGTAGAAAAGAGCATGCTGTTTAAGACTCTGTCTCGGGCTAACTTTGACATCGTCTACTTTTCGTCTTGCTAATAAATGCAGTTTTCTGATAGTTCTTCTGAGGTGGAGTTGAGAATACACATAGGAGGCCAAGATGTCCATAATCCTAGAGATATATCGGTGGATGCAAATCTTACGTCTTTAGCTGTCAGAGTGCAGCGCCCTGGATCTCCAATCACACTTATAGAGACTAATAATCTTTTTGACAAAATAAAACCTGATGAAACAATATGGTTTGTGCAATTGAAAACTATCAATTTGCGAGTCAGGTTTTAGCCTTTGATTTTTTTGGTTGAAATGTCTATGCTTTGTTAAGGTACATTGATGATGATCAACTGGTCGTGAACTTAAAGAAACATGATCCTGATTTGAAATGGCCTGACATCACAGAATCATGGGAATCACTTACAGCAGGATCTGCACAACTTCTGAGAGGAACATCAATCTACCTTGTCGGTGATTCAACTGATATCAACCAGAAAGTGGCTCGGGAGCTTGCAACTGGTCTTGGGTATATTTATATACATTTGGGATTCTAATAGTCGATCTTCAATCTGTACACCTTTTAACACCTTACATAAAGCTTCTTTCATTCCAAATCTATATCATTTTTCATTTTATTTAATAGGTTTAAGCCTTACGCCAAAAATGCTTGCAACCTTCAATTTTGCCTATAATTGACGTGAGATTCTCATCAAACAGCTTGTGATTTTGACGCTTGATATCTTTTCAGATACACGCCACTCGTTACAAAAGAGTTACTGGAAACATATTCCAAGCAAACCATTGATTCATGTAAGTTTGATTCCTTTGCCTTTCCTTTTTCTTTAAACATGCTCCTCTTCCATTCATACTTGTGGATTCTGACAAACCAGTGATAGATATATCAGCACTCTGTACTTTAATATATCATGACATCTTCAATATTCTTTCTTTACTGCTAGAGCCCTAGGATCATGAAAGAATGACTAGCCATGATATGAATATATTAATTCAACTTTTTAGCAAGGGACAAGGTAGGATTCTTACAATCTCCTTGTTTCATCCACTCGACTGTCATTATCCTTGTGGCAAACTATTCCATCTATTTTCAACCATATTTTTCCCTAGTCCAGAAAGGGGAGGGGACTAGGGGGAACATCTCACTGTAATGATGTATCCCTTTGAATAAGATGGCCTCAACTAGTATATACGTCTAAGTACTTGAAGTGACGTGAATACCATATTTTGCAGTGGATTAATAAATGTAAACAATTCCAGGGGTGATTGCTGAAGGTGTTGACTCTGTAGCAAAAGCAGAAAGTTCTGTACTTGAAAGCTTAAGTAGGCAAGTCTATGACTTTATCTTTTATCCCCCCTGGATAAGTTAGAAATTAGAAAACAAAAGCATTTATTTCTGTATTTGAGTGATCTCCAGTCATGTGCGGTCCGTAGTTGCAACATTAGGAGGGCAACAAGGTGCTGCTGGACAAGCTGATAAATGGCAGTATCTTTATGGTGGGTTTACTGTCTGGTTATCACAGACAGAAGCACTAGGTTAGTTTTTTATTTCATTCTATTAATTACTGTTCACTGGATATATATCTGCTCCATGATGATTATCTTCGGGTTTTACCTATTCTTGCGCCTTACCAATTTCTGAACATTCAATTTTATTCAGGTGAATGGATATATACGACTGTCAACCTTCATTTGCAAAATCTACTTTCCCTTCAATTCTTCAATCTCTGCGACTCTGCCCCATAACTTTTCTTTTTCTCACAGTCTATCAGTTGATTTATCCATCCATCCATTCATTTTCTTTTTTGGATTGGTCGGCTTTACAAAGTTACATCCATTGTGCTTTTTATCCATAGTCTCTTTGTCCAAGTTTGTACTAGCTCATTCTTTCTGATGTTTACCTCATATAACATGCTTGATTTAATAAAAAAATAGCGTTGCAAGTCCCTCCTTTTTGTCTGTGCCATAGTTATCAAGTTTACTTTCCAACTGCTAGACAGGATAATCAATTTTAATGGATTTGGTTGACTTTGTTATTATCAATTCTCAAAAGATGACATGCTAGGAACCGTGAGTTCTGGCTAATTAATAGGTATTAGGTGCTACAAAATAATAGATAAATCCTCTTGGGCCTCAGATTGATTATGATGCAGATGAAGATACTGCAACGAAAGAAACTCACCAAAACATGAAAGATGGCAAGCTTGCATACACAAATGCAGATGTGGTAGTTAAGCTTCAGGGTTGGGATCCTGCTCATGCCAAAAGTGTGGCGCAAGCGTGTCTGAGTGCCCTAAAACAATTGATTCTCCGAGACAAAAAACTTCCAGGTACCTTATACTTAAGGCCTTTCTGCTTTTTGGTAGACCCATAGAGTTCCATTTCATTTCAATGTCAAAATTGTAAAAACCAGTGATTGATGTTTGGGGGTTGATATTTTGACTTAAAACAATGGCATGTGATTCTGAGGGATTAAAAATTAGAATGTTGAAAATAGGAGTGTTGAAAGGGAGGGTTAGAAGTTTTGGATCCTGGCTTTTGATAGGGATAGAGTAAGAAACAAAAATTGAGGTGAAAGTGCATTGTAACGAGTATTAACTGGATCTAATTGTACTTATAAATAAGAATATATTTTCATTTCCCCTACTCTCATTCATGCCAAGCAAGAGTGTTACGTGTTAGTTCTATGTTAAAGGTTTTATTGTTTTTTATGCTGCTGTTATCTTTTATATATTTATATTGCTAGCTGTACTAGGTTAGTAATTGACAAACTAGGACCATACTTGTGGTGACACGTGTCTAGGTTAGCCTTATCTGTTGTGTCCACTCTTTCCGTGTCTATGAATGAAATCAGTCTATTCTCCCCCTTTTCCCTCTTTTCTTTTAACATTAAGGTATTAGAGCTGTTTCTTCGGCCATGGTTCTACTGGAGATGCAGTCCTCGACCAAACGCATTGGCGACATGGAACATTGACTTGAAATGCTGTCCGCATTGCTTCAAAGCACTCAACAAGTTTTGGAGCAACACACTAGTGATATCGCTGAGATAAAAAACTACCTTGTCTCAGTTTATGAAGGAGATTTCTGATAAATTCTCTATGCTCACCAATCAACCATCCCGTTCACCTCAACTTGAGGTCGATGAACCCTCCACCTTTAAAACCACCCCCTTCACAAACACCCTCTGTCGCCCTACCTCATCCAGCCACCTCTTTTCCTCCTCCACCAATCACTGTTCCACCACCACCACCACCATTCTCCATACAAGCTACCCTTCCAGCCATATTTACACCTCCACCCCAATTCAGGTCATTCTAAGGCTTTCTACCCCACCACCATGGTCTTACTCTGCCCCGACCAAGACTAGCAAAGTTGAACTTCTAAAGTTTGATGGCACCAACTTTTGAGGGTGGGCTTATTGTTGCCGCCAATTTTTTGACGTGGATGTGACACCTATTGATCAACGCGTTCACCTTCTAAGCATTCACTTGGAAAAACATGCCCTATGTTGGCACTTGTCTTTCACAAAACCAAGGCATCTGGAAGAACTTTAATGGGATGAATATTTTTGTGAGATGGAAACTAAGTTTAGGGATATCAAAGATGAAAATCACATGATTGCCATTAAGAAGTTACAGATACAGGAGTCAATAGAAGAATAAGAAGAATGATTTGATGAACTCTTAACTAAAGTGCACTTATTAGAGGAGGCGACGATGATGTGCTTCATTAGTGGCTTGCAAAGCGATGTGCCACATGGAGTTATTAGTGTCTAGCCAACAACCCTAGTGAATGCAATGAAGTTGGCCAAACGACAAATCGCCACCATTAGAGCGATTCACGGGCACACTCCGTCTTCTGTGCTATCCACTAACAAGTCTTCACTCAAGTTCTCATCATTTTCTTCATCCAGGTTTACGCATTCGTCCCTTCCAGTTTTATCAAGTCCCATATCCTTCCCACTTGACAAGCTCAAACTTGATTATTATAATTCAAGCCCATTAATTGAAAAGGCTTGAGCATCTACTTCCTCTAGCCTTGCAAGCTTTGCCTCGTGCAAGCCCTCAAAATCATTGTCAAAACATGAAATGGACGAGAGAAGACGTAAAGGACCCTGCTACTAGTGTGGGGATAAACATACTAGCACTCATTGATGTAAGGACTCGCAAGTTTTTGCCCTTGTTGTAGAAGATGATGTTGAGGTATTTTAAGACACTTTGGAGGAAGTTAAGCCTCTTGAACCAATGGGTACAGTGAATGCTATCGAGGGCAAGGAAAGGACATCTACTTTATGGATAATTGGCCATATTAAGAAGCAAAGGATCATCATCTTGATTGATACAGGGAGTATTTATAATGGAATTGATTATAGGGTCACCAAGTGCCTCAAGTTGAAGGTTCATGAATGAGAGGGAGTGTGCATCACTGTGGTTGATAGTAGACGGCTTTTACTCACTAAATATTGCTCTAATTTGGAATGGGAAATGGGCACTTCATTTTTCTCTTCCGATTTTCTAGTTATGAAAATTAGGGCTTATGATATGATTCTTGGTGCACAATGGCTTAAGACTCTTGGCAGATTCACCATGGACATGGATGAGCAATTGTTTGAATTTCACATGGATGGCAATCTGATTGAATTAAAGGGAATTCTTTATAAGGCACCGGGTTCTATTATCACAAATGGATCTCTCAGGTCATGATATGTTGATGACAAGTCATTCTTTCCTAATTCACGCTCCTCATTACTTACAGGTACAATTACCACAAAACACTTCTCTTTCTACTAATAAGCAATCTTAGTTGACTGGACTCTTGGATTCCTTTATGGATGTCTTTGTTAAACTATCTATGCTTCCCCTTTTACGCTCATTTGATCACTCAATCCCTCTCAAAGTTGATTAGCCTGTAAGTTGTAAACCTTACCATTATGGCCCTGTACAGAAATCTGAAATTGAGCAAGAGGTTCAGCAAATGCTTACCAATGGTATCATTCGGGAAAGCAACGGTTCCTTTGTTGCCCCTGTGGTGTTAGTCCAAAAAAAAAGGATGGTTCATGGCACTTTTGTGTTGACTATAGGAGACTAAATGAAGCCATTGTGAAAAATGAATACCCTATTCTAGTAATAGAGGAGTTTTTAGATGAGCTCATTGGAGCTTAGTTTTTTTTCTAAGCTCGATTTAAGAGCTGGTTATTATCAAACTCGAATGAAGGAGGCTGATATTCCTAAAATGGCTTTTTGCATTCATGAGAGGTTATATGAACTTTTCAGGGTTTTATGAACTTCATTTTCAAGCCTTTTATACGTAAGTTCATTCTAGTGTTGTTTGATGATATCTTGGTTTATAGTAAAGATTGGGCAACTCACCTAGATCCTTTAAGGGAGATCTTACAGCTTCTACGAAAACATCAACTTTTTGCTAAGACTTTTAAATGTACTTTTGCTGTGATGCAAATTGATTATTGGGGTCATGTCATCAAGGAGTCCAAGCTGATCCGAAGAAGCTAGAAGCAATTTCTTCTTGGCTAGCACCTTCCTCTATTAAGGAGTTGAGGGTTTTCTGGGACTTATTGGTTATTACGGGTGCTTTGTTAAGAATTATGGCTCTATAAGCAATCCTTTAACTACATTGTTGAAGAAAAATGAGCCTTTTGTATGGTCTCCAAGTGCTCAATCAGCTTTCAAGTCACTTAAGTGCCATGGTTTCTCCTCTCGTGCTTGGTCTTCCAAAATTCAATAAGACTTTTGTTATTGAGACGGATGCATCAAGACATGGGTTAGGAGCCATTTTATCTCAAAATGGCCATCCCTTAGCTTTTGCTAGCAAGGCACTATCTTCTTTTAGGAGGCAATTATCTGCTTATAAGTGTGAGTTGATGGCCATTGTCTTTGCTGTCAAACAGTGGTGCTTATACTATTGGGGACGGAAATTTATCATTAAGACCAACCATTTACCATTGAAGCATCTCCTAAAGCAGCATGATCTGAGTCAAGAGCAATGTAGTGGCTTCATCAGTTGTGGGGACTTGACTATGACATTGGTGATTGCAAAGGTAGTGATAATACAGCAGTTGATGCTTTATCTAGATGCATTGAAGGTGCTTGTTTGGCTATTTCTGTGCCTGTTTCCCCCTCGTATGTTAGAGTGCACGATTCTTGGCTTCTTGATGATCGATTGCAGCAGCTAGTCATGGCTCTCAAGAGTAATCCTTTGTCTAATCCTAATTATACTTAGGAACGTTATTTGTTGAAAAGGAAGGGTAAGCTTATGGTAAGGGCTGACCGTGGCCTTCAAGATTATTTGCTCAAGTTTTGCCATGCATATGGCATTGGAGGACATTCTGGTATGACTGCCGCCTATAAGCAACTTCTTTCTTTAATTGGAAAGGAATGGAGAAGGTTGTTCGTACTTATGTGCACCAATGCACAACATGCCAGCATTTTAAACCTGAATTGGTGGCTTCTCCAAGGTTGCTTCAGCCGATGCCTATTCTAAACCATGTTTGGCCTAAACTTTCAATGGATTTTATTAGTGGTCTTCCAAAATCTTACTCTAAGACAACTATTTTAGTGGTAGTTGACCATTTATCCAAGGCTGCTTGCTTTATGGCTTTGAAACATCCTTTCCGACCAAGATCCATTTTTTTGTGGCAAGTTTTGGAAGGAGCTTTCTCACTTGTACGTAGTTAAGTTGCATTTCTCTTTAGCCTATCATCCCCAAATTGGCAGCCAAACTGAAATGCCTAACCATTGTTTGAAATGCTACCTTCGTTTCATGACCATTGATTTTCCAAAACAATGGGTCAAATGGTTACCTCTAGCTGAGTTATGGTATAATACCACTTACCATTTCTTGATTGGGATGTCTCCCTTTGGGGCCACGTACAAGGTGCTTCCTCTTACTCATTTGCCTTATACGTGGGTGATTCACCCAATGAAGTAGTGGATCACACTTGCCTTTCTTGGGAACTCACTACACAGATTTTGAAGCAACATTTGTTGAAGGCTCAGCACAGATGACCCACCAAGCTAATAAGCATAGATCCAAGCATCAATTTGATGTGGGAGATATGATTTTCCTCAAATTGCATCCCTTCCAGAAGAATCTGTTGAATAACTCCTCTTTGCATAAGCTGGCTGCCCGGTATTTTGGGCCTTTCAAGGTTGTGAAGCATATTGGCGCGATTGCATATGAACTGGATTTGGCCCCCAATGCTCAGGTTCATCTGGTGTTTCATGTTTCTTTGCTAAAAAAAACATGTTAACCCAGCTGTTCCTCTTAATCCTACCTTGCCATTGGTAGGCCAATTTAAGTTAGAACCCGAAGAAATTTTGGGCCGGAAGATTGTTAAGCGTCATTATCTGCCTGCGACTCAAGTTTTGGTTCACTGGATATTTTCTCAGCTGGAAGATGCCACTTGAGAAGACCTCTTAGCTATTAAACAGCAATTCCTTCACGTTTGCGCTGATGCACCTGCTTCCACTACCATCCTTGTGGACAAGGATGTTTTTCAGGGGGGGCTGGGAGTACTGTTACGTGTTAATTATATGTTAAGGGTTTTATTGTCTTTTTTGCTGCTGTTATCTTTTATATATGGCAGACTGGAACCATAACTGTGATGACACGTCTAGGGTAGCCTTGTGTGCTGTGTCCTGCACTCTTGCCGTCTTTGTGAATGAAATCAGTCTGTTCTCTCCCTTCTTCCTCTTTTCTCTTAACAAAGAGGAATAAAATTTTAACTTTTAACCCTCCCCTTTCCTTCTCTATCATAGTATCATGTACTACCAAATGCTAGTTAAAATGTCATTCTTTTTCCATCTTCATTCCCTTGTCTTATTATGTGTATGGATTAGTAACTCAAGTTCTACTCTGGGTCCTTAGTTGATTAATTACGTGAAATCAAATGCTTGACCAAATCATTCATGCATCTGTGTCCTATATGTTTTTCGGCCTCCTTTCTCATGCTGGACCAAGAGACCAGATCTTACTCATTTTATAAACTTCGGCCTTGGCCAGTGAATGGAGAAACCAAACTGAGGAGGCGTTTGTGCCCGCCCCCAATCTTTCTCTAGTAGTGGCTTCTTGCAAATTGCAGTTTCATGGTTATTTGTGAATAACTCACTCGACGTTGTTGTTTGTCTTTCATTCTGCAATCTAAGGTAACAAGTTACTTCATTAGATGCCAATTGGCACCCCCCACAACACACGCACGCACGCACACAAAAACCCTTCTTAAAGCTTAATCTGGAGTCTGCATCACTGTCAGTTGAAACTAATAAAACCACATCAGACAGCTTTTATGTACTCGATTCTGAAATATGTTATGAGATGGAGTAGCCTATGATTGATTTTACTCACTTGTGCCTTTCTTGAAGGTAAGAAAAGCCTCTACATAAGATTGGGATGTCGGGGTGATTGGCCAAACGTCAAACCTCCTGGTTGGGATCCATCAACGGAAGGTGATGCAACTCTTGACAACAAGTAATTATGTTGTTATAACTTAGAAGCGATCATATTAGAAGTTTTATTGATGTACGGTGTTTTTAACTCATATCCAACAGAGGTGGTGTTACTTTGACGATTGTAAAAAAGGTTAAAAAAGTTTCTTCGTTTGAATCTGTCCCATTCTACTTGGCTTAAGATGGAAGTTACATAAGAAGGGAAATTCACTCTCAGCTCCCACACAATCTAAAAACAGAAAAGCCCCATGAAATAACAAAATTACCCTTAAGTTCCATATCATTTATTAAAGTTGTCAATTATTGATGGATAATTGTTAATTGTTATTGCTTAGTTGCCAACTGGACATCTTTACTAACAACTATCAAACAATAATTAACTACTTCAGTAAACGACATAGAATTTCAGGGAAATTTTATAATTTCTTGAAACTTTTCTGTATTTAGATTTCTTTTGTGAGCCTTAACGTGATTTTCTTGCATAAGAATCTCCTCATTTGTGGGTTGTTCATATAATCATATGGTGATTCAGAAAACGCTAGTTCCTTTGTACTAGACCAGTTACCAACAGTTGAGGAGAAAAGCATAGTTAATTTCTAATGCTAAATTGCTAGGTGCCAACTAATTACTCAACCTCGAACTAATCCAATTCTTGCCAATAATGAACAGGAGGCTATAGGGTCAGGTCCTTGCCCTCTTGGATATTAAAAAGGGAGGAGACGACCCAAGTAATTGAATTTTTTTTTTTTTGGGGAATAATGTCTGAGATACTGTCAAGTATTAAATATGAATATTTTTCTTTATAAGAATTCAAATATTGATTAATCACATTATGAGATATTAGTCCTTTCAGCTAGATCCAACCTCTATTGGTATTAAGCACTTGAAATTTTAACAAAAGGAATTTACAAAATGTGATTCAAATAAGGAATAGAGAAAGTAGGGGGATGGAATTTGACCTTAATGTTAATACTTGTAGTTGTGAATTTGCTATGCAAAAACTGGTGTTTTGTCGATTAAAACACTTGTAAAAGTTAATCCAAATACTTCAGCAGGGCAATGTCTTTAAAGTTTGGTTTGAATAGAGAGAAAAGTATAAAAAAAATGGGAAATAGAGAAAAATAAAGAGAAATTTTCAAAAATAGCAAAAGAATTTTATTATTTTTAGAAATTTTTTAATTTTCTTCCCATCCAAACCAAAGGTAAGAATTAAATTTGAAGTCTTTAACGAGATCAGCGAAGGACTTCAATTCCAAGTTATGTAAGACTGTAACTTCGCTAGCCAAACAATGCTGAATTGCCTTTTTTTTTTCCCCCTCCTTTGTGAGAGAATTATTTGAATAAATTTCTCATGAAATGAGCACTTGCAACCCTGTTGTTATGTTGGAATTAGTTAAGGATTCCTTGCTTTAGCTTATTTAGTTGGATTTGAATACGTTGGTTAACCCTTCATTGCTTAAAATGAAACTTGCAGTAGATCACCGCCTCCACAATTACGGGCTCATAAATCGTTTATGCACAAGGCTACTCTAATGTTTAATAGCAAACTTCAGCAGCTGTTATTAAAACATTATTCCATTCACTTTGCTTGTTATTAAAACCTCGTCATTTTATAATCCCTTGTGTCTTTAATATAAGATGAATTTTAAAATATTTTCTTGGTCCTAAATATAAAGATGAAATTATAATAATTAATGCTTTTTTTCAATTTTAACTCTTGTTTATTTATCATTTAAATTTTTAAATAATAATTTATTATAATCATGAATTACAAATAAGAGTAAAATTGGAAAGTTAAATGATTTTACAATTTCAAGATCATAATTAATATTTCTTAATAAACATGAAGTTTGTTAACTTCATTTTATATTAAGGATTAGAGTAGTATGTCACAACAGACCATATTGCTTTTGCATCCACGCTCCCACAAAGACTATGGCCTTCGTAAACTATAAATGGAAGGTTATGGATTCGATCCCTAACCTTAAACCAGCAAAGATATCAAAGTATGATTAAAAGGTCCTCACTCACTGACCAAACTCAACAACTAAATTCATTGGTTTGAAATTTTTCGTAACATCACGCCAATAAATTGACGTTCTTTTCCCGAGAAAAATATTAAATTATATTTACCATACAATCACAATATAATTTTCCTTTATCTGTACATTTAATCTGATAATAACAATTTAATCATCTCTATAACGCTGCAAAGATCAGATTACATTTTTAACTTAAAATGTCAGTAACTTTTTTTTTCTTTCGAGAGAGACTATAATGGCAATCAGTAAGCTCTTTTTACAATCTTTCAATCATGAAATTCTCTTGTAGTTTTTAATATTATATGAAGTATCAAAGAAGGGAAACGTCAAGTGAGAGAAGGGAAAGATTTCTGTGAAAATTATTTTCGTAGTTCAAGGTACAGAGAGACCTGTTGCTACAAAAAGAATGAATGAACTTACAAAGCAGGGAGGCATTAAAATCAGTAAACAACGAAGACCCATATTCCTAAGACGACCCATACGACTGATGATGGATCAAAAGAAAAAAATGAAAACAAATTTACAATGGAGTGGAGTGGCTAACCCAATCCTAACTAGTTCTAGCTTTTGCAATATAGGTTTCTGGCCCAAGTTAGAAAAACACCTGGGCCCCACAACCCCGAGATCACCAAAGTGCAGCAGCCCAAATTGTAGGGCCCGCACCAAAGAATGTAATATCCTTATCCTACGTGGTTAATGTCTTCATCTTCATCGTGCCGCTGCTTCCTTGGCAGAATCAAGTCCTTTGGATTACTCGTGTTATTAGAATGCCCATTTAGCTAAATCAAGTTAGCAGAGTCAGACATATGCATCCCTATTAGTTCTCAATCTGGCTCTGTAAGCCCAGGAATGAAGGGGCCTCGCACTTTAAGCCGCTTTGGTCCAATCCCAATCTCTTTGGGAGACGATGGTTCCATCATACTCTGCTGCAACCAGTTTCTCTTGTGGTGATCTCCTCCACTCAAGTCCTCGTTTCCTAGTTTCTTGTACCTTATGGAAATGGGATTACTATAAACCTTTGGATATCTTTCCCTGGTACAGGTTTCGCCGTCAATTTTGTGATATGCTGGGTGCCTCAACTTGCTGTAACCTGATTCACTGCCTTTGCCGTAGTCTATTAGTTCCCCACTTCTTCCTTCATCACAGTTCTTCTTCAATCGTTTTAGTCCCTGCTCATATTAATATAGACCATCATAAGTCCGTTCAAATGCAAACAAAGATCATTCGTCAAATTCCATACAATACACAGGACCCATCTAATTATTAATTAAAATATAGATAATTCAGTTAAGAAATATATCAAGCGTAACAATCCAACAGTTGTTCACAGACAGGCTCATCGAATATTGTCAATACCTGGTGGTCAAAATGCCTAGGACACGTCCCATCATTCCCATTTCTCCTCTCCGCCTTTAAAGAAGAAGGCCGCTTTACCCTAAATATCTCTGAATCAGAATCATCGCTGTCATTGGTCACGGTGGATGTCATCTCTAATCTATAAAGATCACCATGAGGTTCACTCGAGCTGTCGTGATTCCGTGTAGGGGATACTGAGGATCCACATACACTAGGGGACACTCTTTCACATACCTCTTCAAAATTAACAAGGCCCAAGTTTGCACGCCTATCATCCTGATTACGGGGTGGTAATAAAAAAAAAAAAATTCAGGATTAAAGAATTCTAGTTCTGATCCAAATTACGGGGAACATGTAATCACAAGCTATCAAAATGAAAACACTACTAAAAAAGACAATTATACGTACATTTTCTGTAGTGGCAGAACACTCAAGAGGATCAGAAAGAGAGAAAAGAGCAGATGCAGCAGAAACGAAGGAAACATCAGACACTTCGGGTTTGTGATATTCTGATCCTGAGCGATGCCTCAAAGGCCATTGATTTTGAATAGCACGCTCTTGAATATTTATTAACTGATCTGAGCCTGAGTAAGATTCAGTACCAGGATCAAATTTTATCTCACAATAAGGGGTATATCCATCGGCTTCAGCTCTCTGAAACATATTTTTCAAGGGATATGAATACATGTTATTGTCAGCCTTGATCTGCTTCATTATCGCATCCAATATTCCATCTTCCTGCTCAAACCTCTTGGCAGCAGCTTCCATATCCTCAATATCCTCCCTCAAGTAAAGTATGGGTTTTCTCCCACAGCAGAAATCAAGAGATTCGACATCTGGATTATTAAAAGTTTTAAAAACTCTTTAAAAATGGTAATATTGAAACGTAAAAGCGGCACATAATAAAAACAATCATTGAAAAGTTATTGATCATTATTAATGGTTTTCTCTTTTCTCAGTACGGAATAAGCAATTGACTAACGAGACAACCAAACGCATCCCATGTGATCAAGTTCAAAAATCGCAATTAGTATTGACAAAACATACCATGGCGTAGACACACTGGATGCATGTGACAGTCACAGTCAACATATGCTACATAACAGTCACGCTTGCAGAGACTACAGAGAATTGAGCCATGCGAGTGTGAAGAAACATTTGTGCACACCCTTGATTTAATTAAGAACCAGCGAGCACAATGCTGGAAGCGCATCAAATTAACAAAAGATATCTTGATGCTATTATGGAACATCAAGTCTGCAGAAGGAAAGTCTGAATCTTCAAGTTCTAAACTTGTATAGAGAAGCATTGCTTCTTTGCTTAAAAGTTCTTCGTGAGGTAGCAAAGGAACCCTGTTTAGATGAGCATATCGCCTACTGGCCATTGCCCCTAGAGGAAACCAATCACCAATGGCAAAATTCACTGCTTCTCCACAGTTAAAACCTGAAATGTCAAAGACTCATTGATCGTTTGAGAGCAAGGAATAAGGCAATAACTTCTAGAAACTTAACTGTACTAGTGTAAAATCTTACCATGACTAAAACCAGAATGATATGCTCCAGGAAAGGTAACAATAAACTCTCCCGGTCTTTGAACAGCTTTGTAGACCGGCACTTCATGTTCCAACAAAATATTTGGAGGAAACAGAGTTGTTTTCCCCAGCAGAACATCAAAGGCTCCATCTTCCCCTTCACTTGACAGAATATCATTAGTATACACATGTTCTCTGACGACCCTTTCAAATTCCAAAGCTGCGTGACCTGGAATGCCGTACCAAGTTTTTGATGCCCCACAGTGATGATAATTAATACTGCCAAAACAATATATATATATATATATCAATGAAACATGTAAAGCAAAAATTCTTAGAAGGCTGAATTTGTCCCCAAAAAATAATAATAATAACAACAACATTAACCTGTACAAAAAGTGATCCTCAACATGCCAAGCAAACATACTAAACAGCATTCCAATGTATAGCATAGGTTCTGTTACTCCCTGAAATAAGCTCGATGATCTCATGCGGGAAAGAAGTAAAACAAATCAGTTTGATAAAAGGAAAACAAATACCATACCGGAATTACTGTTTCCAAGAGCCGCAAAATGGACTTGGGCAGCCGAGAAAGCTTCTGGAGATATGGAGAAAGGTGTACATGGGTTAGTTAATAAAAATCCATGATAAACTATTCAGATGAATGAGCAGAAATTGAGAAAAGTTGTCTCGTCAAAGAGATATAATAAACACCTTCAAATTCCATTTGCTGCTCCCAAGTTGATCATTAGGAGAAGAGGAAAAAGCACTACCATCAACATCACATGCATATTCGACAGTTTCCATCTTTCCACACCTAATTTCATGCCAAAACTCTTTTTCCAAAAATGTGGCAGGAAGACATCCAGCACTGCAATATCTACGTGCAAAAGCCTTGTTTGCCATTTTTTCAAAATCGCGAAATGTATAATTTCTGAATGAATCAAAACTGTATTAAAAAGTAAAATAGATAAGCCAATTGAAGTTAAAAACATATATAAATTGAAAACTCACCTTCCACTCATGAAAAATGTAACTTTGTCTTCAGTATCCCACTCAGCAAGGCGAAGTGGCTGTACTCTAGTTGCAAACTTAAATCCTGCTTTCTCCTTCATCAACACAACTCCAGCAGGAACTGAAGCACTTAAAGGGGAAATAATCTTGCATATACCTGGAATTGGTCATCCATTCAAATGGAGAAGGGTTAGGTCAACATTTTATCACTCTATTGGTTCATCATAAATCAGATGTCTGATTTATGAAGATGCACGGAATAGTTTAGGCATCCCCTGTGCAAAGTGAAAAACAATCCAAGTCTATCAGTATTTAGCCACCCATCAGGAACCATTGTCAACGGCAAATTATACAGCATGTATCCAGAATAAAAAATTTTGGGAATCTTCAAAATATCTAATCACAAGCTTGATTTTCAGGGGGGGGGGGAGTCAAATCAAAGGGGCTGCCTCTATAATGCACACCAGAAAGCACATGGTGATAGATCAAAATTTTATCTGCAATCCAGGAACTCCAAAAAAATGTGCAGTTGCACTGAAAAATAAAATAGGAGCAAATTTGTCGATAAAGAGATATAAGCCATAGATTCCTCTATATGCAGTAGTTTGAAGATTTATCTACTATGACAACTTTCTTTTTTACACAAAAACAGAAAACCGGACCCCCCAAAAGTAGGACTTAAAAAGGTGACTTAGAGCAATGTATTGCCTTGTGCGGGGTTGAATGCCCTTGTTCACTAAATGGATTCATTATAGAACAAGATTCAATAGGCTGTACCATATCTCGAAGCCACAGGAATTATCTTTTGCAAATAAACCAAAGGGTCCTCAAATTCCTCCTTTGTTGGGGAGTACACAGGACACTCGGGAATTTTTTCTGTCCATTCTAGATCACTCATGTCAAACTTATCCACTTTCCGCTTGGAAAAGGCATCTGCATTACCATGCAATCTCATACCGCACGATGACGAAGCCCTCAAAGCATCCCCTCCGCTTCTTGTCATCATATTATCAACAGTTATCTCGGTGGCAGTTGAAGATTTTGCTTGGTGAAGCCTTTTACACTTCAAAGATTCTAATACATTTCCAGCTTCCTTGGGCAAACAAACTCTTCCTTCCACCTGATAGATGTTTTATCATTTGCAATAGATAAGAAACCATCATTTGACATTCAGAGTAGAAGCCATATAAATGAAAGAACAAATTTAAAAATTAAAAATGCTAAATTATTATTAGCAACGCCAAAGTGCATATTACTCGATTAGCATCATTACTTCACTCGGGTTGAAGACAAAAATGTAAATAAATGGAGGGTAAAAAAGCACTTTGAAGACAAACAACTTCAAATAAGTAACCACAAAACGGGGAGCACAGCAACAAAAGAAGGGTCCCGAATGAAAGCGATGTTCTTCGTTATGTTATCATTGAAGTCAATGGATAGATGATCACCGCATATTATCACTCCGCGGTCAAAGTCATAAAAACAGGTATCAGCAGCATTAAAAAGTATCTCTAGCGAGACTTAAACAGCCTCCTTCAGAAAACTGACCGATAACCGTTAAGACAAAAATTAATTCACCGACTGGATGACCACAACTTCGCCGAATTGGAGGGGTTCATTGAAAAACGTTACCATTTCATCCAGATTTAGGACGTGATATGGTCAAACGAAAAATCTAGCATAAAAAATTCAACGAAAGCGTGCGCGGAAATTTGAACAGTCTCCCCTTTCGAATATCATTATTTTCCAACTTGACAAAAACCAATCAAACAGAAAATATAAGAGGAGGAAAACATTGTACGGATACCAACAAATCATGAATTCTTGCCAGAAAATAAGTCAAAGACCTTAAACCTTTTGAAATTTCTTCTCTAGAAAACGGAGGAAAAGGAATTGAAACTGCTCCAGTAACTAAGAAAAATCTTAAACGATTCCTGGGTAATTTCCATGAGGAAAAAAAATCCACTCCTGCAAAATGCACCTTAAGTATTGGTTTAGAATGTTAGTTTTATCAAATTATGACATGGCTGTAATAATACAGCAGGGTTAATAGGTTTAATCATGATCATTCAGACTGAAAAAAATAAGAAAAATTGTGAAGAAACTGTAAGAGAAGCGTATGTATAGCAGAGATCTGAAAGATAAATGAGAAGAACATACATTTTGCAGAGACTTTGAAGCACTATTACAAGATGGAGGGGGGAAATATAGAAAGCATGATTAACCTACCATTTCATCCCGAGGTAGCTCCTTTTAGGCCTCAGCCTTCGCCCACTTGGTCATGAAATCACAAAACAATGACGTAACTGGATCCAAATCCCAGAGCCAAACCCTAGATCACGATCCTGGATTTTACAGATTAAGAGAGAGCCCGCAGCAACGAACAGACTCACCACATTCTCGAATAACGCCGAGCACAGGGCTGAAACCAGACCGAGAGGGATCCAAAACCTTCGAAGACAGCCAAAGCAAATTATGAGGATATACAAACGTGTGAATCAGAAAGTAGCAGCCAGCCTCGTCAGGAGTCACGGAAGTAGGTCACCGGTAAGGAGGCGGTTTTCCGGCTGAAGAAGAGGTTTTCCGGCGAGGAATAAAACGGGGAGAAACAGTGGATGAGGAAAGAGAGGAAATGAAGGCTTAGGAAACCGAAAAAGAAAAAGGAAGAGATAATTTATAGTTTTATACTGTAAAATATTAAGGCTTTTTAATTCTGAAAACCAAAAAACAATTTAACTTTAAAATTTATTTCCCTTTCCTGTGTTTTGAAAGAGCCAAAAGGAAGGGGAAAAAAAAACCAAATGAAAACAGATAACGGAGAAGAAGTGTCAGCCATATTGGTGGTTGTTACTTGTTAGGTGGTTCAACCAAAATACTTGCCGTCCAAAACGCGTTTCTTTTACATCTCGCGTTTCTGCGTTTCGGTGTATGTGACGGAATTACCGTTATAACTCGCAGGATTTATTGACGGTATAAAATTGAAGATGCATGACAAGGATATTTTAATAAATTAACCTAATGCCGGTAATCTACTCACTCGATTTAAAAATATAAAATATTTTTAATCAAATTTCACCCTTCAATATAATAGTTACTAACTTTTTAACTAATCTTATTTTTTTATATTTATTCATATTAAATATCTTATAATAAATATAAAATCACTATTAATAAAAACACTTTTAAAAAAAGTCAATAATTATATTTTAAAAGATTAAAAATATTTTATATTTTGAAATGAAGGAAGTAGAATATAAGGAGAGTATTCGAATGAGTCAGATTATCTTTTTTTTTAAGCTAACTTAAATAAATCTGAACATAATTAAAAAGAAGTAAAGAAATTCATATAACCGAGTAGAACTTTAATACCTGTACTTTCAGAGTCTGCCTAAAAATCCAAATTACTCCTCAGAGACTTTATTTTTTAAAGGAATTTTTAATTAATTTCTACCTAAAACAATATTTTTAATATATTTCAATTTTTAATTAATTTTTACCAATTTTATTAATTAATATATTTTCAAAAATTATTTTTATTAAAAACTAAATACTAATATGATTTTAAAATTTTATCCAATGATTAAAAGCAGAGTGGTTCTAATATTTGTTTTGGCTTATGCCTGCTCTTAGTTATTGATGAGGTCTGGTTCTAGTTTTTGACGCGGCCAGAGAAAAGTCAAAACGAGCAGGAAAGAGGGCACACACTACCGTGAAAACTAGACAGAGTTTGGTTATCTACAAAACGTTGAAATCCCGCCGTCCAATCTCAAAGGCCCTGGAATCTGAAATCGACTGTGGCGGGTCCACTTTTTCGGTTAAACTACCTATCCGTACAGGATAACTCCCACCTACCTTCCAGGTAGTTGGGCTTCTACTTGAAAATACCCCTTTACCCTCGTTGGGTTTCCCGTGGTCTCCAGAAGAACCGAGGGCTTTTCTGGCATTAGCGGAGAATCGTCACATGAGGGACCCGCTCACACGCAGGGGAGTCGCTTCCGTGGTGAAGGTGAACCACTACTCCACGATGCGTGACCGAAATAATTACCAGAGTCACACGTGGCGGATGTTCTACGCGTCGCACGTAGTAGACCAATGGTTTCGCAATTTTTTTTTTTTTGGTACATTACGTAGGATGATCCTAGAAATTGAATCATCCCTCCAAGGATAGAAAGAGTCAACTACTATTGTTGAAAGTGTTTGAGAGCATTCACTGTCTCTCTTTTTTTATCAATTTTCTTCTTTAAAAAAAACACTTTATAAGCTATTAAAAATAAATAAATGTGATCAAGAGTGACGGCTGAGACGGAAATAACTGGCGGGTGGAACCGGGAAGACAATCGCAAGAAGCTGAATGGGTAATGGAAGTTTCTTGTAGGAACGCTAAAAAAACCAAAATCCACCCGTTGTTAGCAGGATGGGATTTCTCTCTCCTCTTGTGATTGGTTAGTGTATGACCTTTGAGCTTTTTGTTATTTATTACGCGGAGGTTGGGAGGCTAATGATTAGGTTTTTGTTTTAAAGGGTCTATTCAGCGGCTTCGCTTAGTAGGTCAACCTCAACTTCAAGTTATCAGCCATACAGCTGATCTTTTCATCGGCCCACCCAGTCACGGCTTGGCTTATTCGTCTCAGTTGAAACTAGAGCTTTTCAATAAATTTACTTTTTTTTAACCATTGATGATTTTTTTAAAAAAAATCACATTCAAATATCACTTTAAAAAAAATATTCACATACGATCAATAAAAATAAATTATTATTAAAATAAAAATATATTTTTTAAAATGACACTTGTTATTAATTATTGTCTATGAATAATTTTTTAAATAATCCTTAAATGTTATTTGCTCTTTTTTTTTTTAATTGCTCCTCTAACTGGTAAATTATATTTTGGGTAAAACTAGTTGGTGAATATTTAATTAGACCATATAAGCCAAATTATTAATTGTTAATATTTATGTGACTTTTTGTGATTATAATTAAGACGAATTATATTCAATGAACATTCAAAAAATTTGTTTCCAAATGAGGACGAATATAAAATGTATTATTGTTAAGATATGAATATGTACTTTTTTAAATAGACTTATTATTAATTTTATTTGTAAATATCTTTTTATTTGAGTAAGTAATTTTTTTAAGTAATCCTTAAAATTTTTTTATAATTGGTTTATAAATATTACTTGAGCTATGAAGCCAACGGTGATCATATATTTTCTTAAATGCAATCCACGTTATCCACCTCAACGTTTGTTCATTGAAAAAAAAAAAAAAAGAAAAAGAGGAAATTTTTTCATCTTAAAATATACAAAATAAATCAAAATTTGAGTTGCAGGGCGTGAAGTGACAAAAGGCTGCTTTTTTTAATAACTCACGTAACTGTGCACATTAAATGCCATGTACTTTATTAAGCCGTGGATTGAGGCTTCCCACTTCCGAACAGATCTAGCTGTCCCGACCAGGGAAGAAACCATCATCGTCAGCGTTCAGGTTAATTGGAAAAAAAAAAAAAAACATTAATATTTATCTTTTTATCCGACGTCAATACGTTCATTAAGAATTGACAAACTCTCTCTCAACCTATTTATATTATGTACTCCTTTATTTAAAAATGTAAAATATTTTTAATTTTTTAAAATATAATAATTATTTTTTAAAGTATTTCTATTAAATAAATTATTTTTTATTTATTTTAAGATCAAACACATTATTAAATAATAATAAATATAAAAAATAATTAATTTAAAGATATGTAATTATTTTATTGAAAGTGAGATCTAATTAAAAATATTTTTATTTTTTTAATAGAAGGAGTATATTTATACTTAACTTATAACTTGGAACAAAAAAAAATCTTAAGATTTACTCCCTCCGTTCAAAATTATAAAGCATTTTTAATCGAATCTCACCATTCAATAAAGGTCTTACCTACTTTCAAACTAACCATATCTTTTAATATTTATCTCTATTAACTACCTTATAATAAATATAAAATCACTATCAATGTGAGCACTTTTAAAAAAGGTGATAATTATATCTCAAAAGATTAAAAATGTCTTATATTTTTAAACATCTAACCCTTTAAAAAATACCTTATATTTTTGAATGGAGAGAGTATTAATTTTATTTAAAATTTTAATAAAATTTTAAACTTTATCCCTATTAAATATATATTCATTATAAACATACTAGTATAAGCATTTTTAGTTAATTTTAATTTAAAATATAAGCAGCTTAATATTTTAAAAAAATTACCCTTTGTACTTGGCAAAATAAACGGATTAAGGTTCAATTGAATTAAAGCTGTATGAGTTAAATTACATTTAATTAAAGTTTAAAGAATGAGTTATAATTAAGTGAGAATTATAGGAATCAAATGATTAATTTTTTTTGCTAAAAAAATGTTTTATGAATCTATAACAAACATTTTTTCTTAAGTTAAATAAGGATAATTTAAAATTATTCATCATCGCCTATATGATTATAATTTTTTAAATATCATATTTAAAAAAATTCCTCTTACATTTGCATGGCTCCAAAACTGTGCAACCCATGAATCCAATCTAGTTTATGATTTTTAAAAAGAGCTCCCAGCCATTAATAATATCAATTAATTTTTTGATCTATGTATGGCAACTAATTTTATATTACACATGCGAACTAGAATTTAATCCTGTGTGTCATATAAAATATATAATTTATAATTTTATTTTTACTTTTTAATCATGTTATTTTCTAAATTTTGCACTATTAAAATGATTTTCAGAACATAGGGTTTGAAGATAAATATTCAAAAATATTTTATCTTGAAAAAAAAATCCACTTACTTAGTGGATAAATCTAGTTTATAATTTATAAAAAGAGCTCCCAGTTATTAGTAATATTAATTAATTTTTATCTATGTATGGAAAGTAATTTTATAATCCCTCCTTCCTAAATTATAAGACAATTTTAAATGAAATCTCACGTATCAATAAATTTCATTAAATATACTTAACAACCTTATCTTTTTAAAATATAAATATAAATTTTTAAAAATATACATAATTTAATATATTAAAAAGAGAATGGACGTAAATTAATTATAGAAAAAGAAAGAAAATATTAGAATTAATGTATTTAATAAAATCATAATTCACTCAAAGTGTTTTATATTTTAGGATGGAGAAACTCCTTTAAAAGTGTCCTATAATTTGAGAGTGAGAAAATATTATACATGCAAACTAGAATTTAATCCCATGTATATAAAAAATATATAATATATAAAATTATTTTTACCTTTTAATCATGTTTTTTCAAGATAATGCACTACCAAAATTACCTTGGAATAAAAATTTTTACTCACTTAGTGGATTCTTCTGTCCGAATGATTCATTTAATAGAAGCCTCATTTCTCTTCTCAATTATTTTAAACAAGTCATTATTTACATAGATAAATCTAGATGGTCTTTAAATATCTTTTTTAATACTATATCATTAGTGACTTTATCTTTGAAACTTTCAATTTTCTTATGTATATATTGATCTTTTAAAAAAATATATAATGCATTCCTAAAATTGTTTTCATATTAAATCCTCATGTTAAAAAAAGAAAGAAAGAAAGGGGCATCATAAATACTTCCTCTATTAAAAAACAAAAATATAAAGTATTTTTTAAAAGGTTAAATATTTAAAATATAAAGTATTTTTAGTCTTTCAATGTGTGATCATTATTTTTTTCAAAAATACCCCTATTAAATAAA